CAAAAAAGTACTCCAGAGTGTTGTTCAGCATGGGGGTGAGTAGAAAATGAAGGCTAATCATGTTTTGGGTGTACTATTCCTTTAAGATCAAAATTCTCTAACAAAACTATTCAAGCTGCAAAACTTTAGCTTCAACTGGTTGAAATTGTGTAAACATGTTTACAAAAAAAATCCTCTTAAGCACCTTTCGTTATCCAATTATAAATCGTTCAAAATGCAAAACAGTCCAGAGATTATAGTTCTTTAGCAAAATAATCTTTTATATTTAAATACTTTATCATGAGAATTAAATGCATTGATTTTTTTACTAACTGAATAACCCTTAACTGATTGTTTTACACTTGATTGTATTTAGGGGTATTAGATTAAAGGGGGCTAAATAACGATACACTGCCAAATATTATATATAGAAAGAAAATATTAAAAGTCTTCCTTTCGAATAATCACATAAAATCTCAAAATGCGACATTGTTTGCCAGCATTGCCTGATCTGCGGGGAATAATTGATGCAACAGAGTGCAGCCCGTTTATTTTCAAACGACACCAACCCATCCTTCCCTCCTTCTTCAAATTTGTACCTTTCACCTTCAGCTGATAGAATATATAAAAGTTTAATCGGTACCGTCTCTTGCTGCTCGTGGTTGAGTCAGAAAAACAGAAAACTTTTACCCGACTTTCTCATAGACGCATAAAGTTAACAAGTTTCTCTTCAGAGCCTTGGGATGCGTGCACGTTCGTAAAAGCCTGATTGTGAATTGTATTCATAAGCATTTCAAAGGGCTTAAAGTTTACATTTGCATAAAATATAAACAATAGCTGAGAGTCAGAGGAGCCCCCAGGAATGACAACCACAAGTGTTAAAAAGGATGAAAAACTATGAATAGAAAACAACTTTAATTTACTCCACAGACGTTTGAAAGTGTTGTTATGCACATTATGGTCCCCATAGATACGCATTTCTGACCCAGAATATGAAATAATCCCTGAGCGTTGAACCGTGCTTCTCTATAGATGCTTGCAGAAAAATAACAACAGCTTTTGCTCGGATGGGAATTAGATGTCCCGACCAATAACAATCACATTAGGAAAGATGACACATTTCTGCTTTTATGTTTAGAGCTGAGCGCCTAGTGAGGTAGTATGACCTCTGGGTTTTGCAGACCACCAATAAATAACAAA